TTGGGTAGCAAAGCAAATCATCTGTGTGGGTAAAAATAGGAAGGGAGCAGTGTCTCAGCTGCTGCTCAGGCTCCTCTTTCCTTATGTTCTTCATGCCAGCACTGTTTGAGGGAGTGTGGATAAAGGACTCTGCAGAGCACCCCCAGCTAAGATGTTTTGTCACGATTGTGTTGGCTAAGGCACGGGAAATGAGACAAAACTGTGTTGGTTTTTTTTCCTCACTTCCCTTGCTCCAGAAAATCCTGTTTGTCAACAGGGAAGCTGTTTGTTCGAGGAGAGAACGTGCCATCCAGCAGGGCATGCAGCAGAGCAAGAAGAGGATCCACAGTGTGCACAGAATGTGTGTGGCTGCCCAGGGGGCTAGTGGAGGGGCCAACTTGTTTGGGTGTTTTACATGCAGTGCAAACAGAGGTTGGTCATGGGATGCAAAATGGTTCATGGAAATAGCACTTATAACACAAGAAGGGAGCAGCAGCAATGTCCACACTGCAGCATGTGCTTGAGGAGATGAAATCTTTCCTAAAATAGGAGCAAACTGAAAGCTGAGGTGTTCAGACTCCCATATCTTGATCTTCCTGGATAGTAAGATTTGTACCACCACAATGCAATTTCTTTCCATGTAGACTAAATTATAAATTCCTTTTGGTGTTTCTTTAGGCAAGACAGCAAGCCCAGCTGCGACATCAGATGGCAGAAGACAGCAAAGCAGAATATTCTTCCACCTTGCAGAAGTTCAACAGTGAGCAGCATGAGCATTACTACACACACATACCAAACATCTTCCAGGTAAGGGTCACTGGCACTGATCAAGGGCAGCTCATAATCCTGTGGCAAGAACACAAGGGCATATTGCATATCACCTCAATTCTATGACCATGTCTTGTGCTTTTTGGTGATCTGTTTGTCACCATTAGCAAATTTTGCATGCAGTCTGCCACCCCAAGAGAGGGCAGGATAAATGATCCCTTTCTCTTAGGCTAAATAACACGTGAGCAATAATATATGAGGAAGGTGACATTGAATTGTCATGACACATTACGATAGTCATTGGAATCCTCACAATCTTGCTCTGTTTAACTGTGTCTGTGCAGCTGGGGATGAGAGCATCACTTGCATTGTTGGGGCAGGAGTCAGCTGGGCATCACTGCATCTGTAAAACCTCACAGTCCTTTATAACCTGTCTTGAAATCAGACTTCACAGATGGTTAAATGTAAACCACAATAATTCTGCAGTAGTGAATGCCAAAGGCTGTAGAGGAAGAGTAACAAAGCCATCAAATTTATACTGAGTGAAGATTGAAGTTTGTGCTCAAGTGAACGAGGAGATTGATGTAGTAGAACAGAAGTTCTGAATGACTGTTCCATTGTAATGGCTCATAAGCATCAGAAATGGAAAATACAACCTCTTTAAGGAAGGAAATGTCACATGCTTATCATCAGATGAGAAATAGCTGATATTTCCATAGCAAACACGCAGTTTCATACCCATCACTGAAACTTCTGAGCTAAAGGGACACCTCCTTTTTTTCTCATGGTATTTCAAACCAATGCCTTGAGATAAATTATCCCTGGCATCAGATATAATATTTTTGTAATGCATTTATATTTAATGCTGGATGTGGTGAGCACTCTGATTTGTGTGGGAGCATGTTAAGAGTCATGCAGATGTCTCCTTTCCACTACCAGGGCACCAATAAGCTCTGGTGTTTTCTTTTAGATGTTGAGATAAATTGTTAGGAAAATTATGTCAGGGCAATGAGGATTTTTAAGTTGACAATGCTCCATAGGTTTCCTGCAGTGTAATGTGAAACAAACTGTTCTGTTCATGCTCTTCTGTATCCTGCTATAATTTGTCATGATAGAGTTATGCCACATCCAGTTTCTCTCCATGGTAAAGGCAAAGCCTATGAAATGGGTCCTGGAGATTGTGGCACTGAATCCACTGAGGAACAAGGAGCACATGTTGGGAAGCTCTGGGGTGAACAATACATCATATATTGTACCTCAGTGCATGGATACAATAGATGATGTATTGCACTGTGAACAATACTTGGTGTATTGTACATCAGTACAACACATGATGTATAGGACTGCCTGAAAAAAAAATTACCCTCTAGTGAAAAAGAGTAAGGAGACATGAACATTTTTGTTTGCTTGGATTCTGCAGTCCAATGAAAAGAAGATCTTTCTGAACATGCACAGCAAATTAATTTATTGTGGCAGAAATTCTGCTAAAAGCCTTAGGAGCCATCCTGCCTGAAGTCTAGAGCTGGGTTTGACAAATGAGCATTTTTTAACACAAAAAGTTTAATTGAAAAATTCCCAGTAGCAGAGATTACTTTTAGAATGGCATTTTGATGTTTGAGGGAACAGTATCACTTGGTGCCTCCTTGAGAACACCTGGCCTAGTTGGTTCTTAAAAATATATTTAAGCCCTAAGTTTGAAAGCAGCTGGTGCATGCTAGGAAAAATCTTGTGAAACTGTGAAGGTCATCTTGATGTTTGATCTGAATGAAATGTACTTTTGTAGAAAATACAAGAGATGGAGGAAAGAAGAATTGTGAGGATAGGTGAATCCATGAAAACCTTTGCAGAAGTCGATCGCCAAGTGATCCCCATCATTGGGAAGTGTCTGGATGAAATAACAAAGGCTGCAGAGTTAGTGGATCACAAGAATGTAAGTGTTGCCTTGTTTGTATTGTTGATTGTTACCTTCAGTATTGATCTTAGAGACTTAAATCCTGGGTCTAGGCTGCAGCACGAGAGCTTTGCAGTCACAGAACTAAACCAAAGAACAGCTTCTTGTCCCAAGCTGCTTTGTCTGAGGCAGGATGTGCTCAGATTATTTCCCAAATCTACTTAACACCAGAAATGCCTCCACTGCCACGCTTTGTAATTTATTTTTTTCAGGAATCTTCTCTCCTTTTACTAGAATAATTACTTTTTGTCATACTGTAATTGAACAATAAGGTTCTGCATCCAATAAGATGATGTTGGACACAATTTCAGATGCTTAATCATCACCAGTTCTGACAAAGGTGGTTTCTGTCTCTCAGAAAACTGAATGTTGCAGAAATGTCTTCATTCCAGTTAGTTTTATGATAATTAAAATATTTCAAGTCTTGGCTACATAAACAATTAGCAAAATCTTTTTGTAGAATCTTTCCTTGCAGGTTTGAGGTTTGCTGGCAATCTGTAAACAGGCCAGTCTTGATCTCTGAACATCACTGTAGGGTGCAGAGAAGCCTTCCTGATAAAAGGGCTGATAAAGAGTTTGGTTGAGCTTCCTCATGTACAGTGACCACAAGGCCAAATGTGTTTTCTGTTAAGTGTGCAGAAGGATCTGCTCCATTCCTACATGAAGTCTCTGTTCTTTCAGCCTTTCTCATGGATCACATTAGGGCTTTAAATACAGGCAGCATGTGTCTTGCTGCTGTTTGAACTTCCCATCCATGTTTTTCCCTGGAGTCTCTTTGAGCTGTTCAGTGCCCAGAGTTGGCAACATAACCCTGAGGTTGGAGTTTTGTTCAGCTATTGCTCTCACAGAGAGCAGCATGGGAAACCAAGGAATCTGAAAATCAGTCTCTAAGTGGGAAAAGGAGGAACTGGGGCACAGATTCTGATGTTGGAACGATATACTTTGCGTGAGGTGCAGTTTTGGGGCTGCACGATTAGATCGTGTCAGGGAGATTCATATCTCAGCCCACACTCTGCTTGAGTCTTCAAGTGAGGTCTTGGCAAAACACACACGAAGCTTACGCTGTGTGTTTGGCTCAGGGTGGGTTCTATGTGCTAGTCAGTGCCTGTTGCAGACAGATAAGTCAGATTGATGTACAAGTGTGACATTGGAAATTGGTGAGTTTGAGCTAGCTAAGGGATCTCCTGTAAACACTGTGCTGGCAAAAATGTGTTGAGCCAAATTAGTTATATCTAATCATGACAATGGGTTTAGTGTGTTCTGTCTGGAAACAGATGTCCACAGGGTTCTTTTTTTCTTAAATATTATCAGGGATTTTTGTCATCTCTTGAATAGTAGTTTCTAACTTGCTTGATTCTGATGAGAGTGATGTGCTGGTTCTTGCCCTTCTGTGGCATTAAGTTCCTGCCACTGTATCCAGATGGCCACAGGTGCACACAGGAGGAATTTAAAAGCTGTATTTTCTCTGTTTCCAGGTAATGTACTGTTTTTGCCACTGATGCTGAGTGTTACCACAGACCTTTCCCATCTCACCTCTTAGCATTTCAAGAAGCAAGTTTGGGCTGTCTTAGGCTGCCATCAGAAGTTTTTCCTTTTCCTCCAAACACTCCAGTTGAAGCTTGTCTCCTTTACTCCTCAAGCTTAAAAAGCCTTGGATAGGAAAGTCAACTTGATGTGCGCTGTAGTCAACCTTGAAAATAAGGTCAGATTCCAGGAAAGTTGTCTTCAAGGACAGCTGGTGATGATATAGTACAATGGGGAGCAAACCCAAGAGCCTGCTGAGCAGGAAGAGCTTTGTGTGAAACTTTGAGCCCACACAGACATGTGCTTCCCAGCTGGGAGCAGATCTGCAAGATCTGGCAATCATAAACAAAAGTACAGTGTCACCAAACTTGAAATGTGGTAGGTCAGACTCTGACACTGCCAAAGGCACTGATGCATTTGGAGTCCTTCTTTAGCTCTTGGTATCCTTTGGCTTTAATTTACTTTTTCTACCCAGTTATGACATGCAGTTACTGGAGAAGGGAAGAGGTTAACTGAAAGCTGCTCTGTGTGTAGGAACTCACTTCGGGACTTTAAATGGAACCGTCACAACTGACAGAGAAGATGTACTGGTCAGAAAGAAAGAAAGAAATCACTGAAGCAAACATCAATTCTTTGGTACCTTGTGTGCCAAACTGTTGACTCGAGCTGATAGGATGTTGGAACATGCAAGTTCTGCAGCTTTTTTTTGCTGTCAGTAAAATATTAGCAACTGATGGTGAGGCATTACTGGTTTATTTTGCTTTTCTCTTTTAAAGCAACAGGACCTTGCACTCCATGTAGGTATCTTGGAGCTTTTTGATAATCAGTCGTAAGCTTTGGGTAGGTTTGTTACAATTTTTGGCCTGTGAGGGTGAGGCTCTATGGGATCTGTGTACCACCATGGTTTCCAACATCAGAATTATGTAGTACAAGAGTAAGACAGGGGTGTGTTTCTGCAGTGACTTTGAAACCACTAAGAGGCTCCTTTCCCTGGCCAACTCTGTGTTCCCTCCCCTGGGGATACTAGCAGGATTCTGGAAGATCACTTTTCTTGCAGGGCTCCTATTTTATTGGATAGTATTTAAAACCAGAATGACAATATGGGTCAGATTTAATACTTCCTCTATTCTCTGCAGCTTAAATATTGCCAAATTCTGCCTCATGTCCACTTACACAGTGGTCACTCTTACAGGCTTAGTTACTAAACATGTGACTGTGGAAATAGGATTGATTTATGCCCTCACTGAATGTATAGAATTCCTGCTAACAGCAATAGAAACTCTCTAGATTTAGCTGGGAATACTGGTTAGCTGTTATGGTTTTTTTCCATTTTCCCTTTCCAGCCATTTGGACAACACAAAGGTCATGTTAAAAGGGTGAGCTGTGGTGACTGCCAGGTGAACCTGTGCAGAACCTGCTTCAGAATGGTCTAGCAGCAGATAAAATGAATTTTTTATGGACTTTGGAGTTCCTGTTATGACATTATCTCCGTGATATATGGAGCATGCTGGTTATTTTTAGCTCCATTGTAGTAGAGGGATGTTTTGACAAAGTGGAAAGAGCATTGTAAAATTAAGAGGTAAAAATGAAAAGCTCCACCGTGCATAGGATAAAATACCAACAGAGTATTGAGTATAACACTGTGTAATCTCTTAGAGTCATATAATCACAGAATGGTTGGGGTTGGAAGGACCTTAAAGCTCATCTCATTCCACCCCCTGCCCTAGGCAGGGAAACCTTCCACTAGCTCATGTTGCTCCAAGCACCATCCAACCTGGCCTGGAACACTCTCAGGGATGGAGCAGCCACAGCTTCTCTGGGCAACCTGTGCCAGTGTATCACCACCCTCACAGGGAAGAATTTCTTCCTAGTATCTAATCCAAACCTACTCTCTGTCAGTGTGAAGCTATTCCCTCTTGTCCTGTCACTCCAGGGCCTTGTAAAAAGTCTCTCCTCATCTTCCTTGTAGCTCCTTCAGGTACTGGAAGGCTGCAATTAGGTCACCCTGGAGCCTTCTCTTTTCCAGGCTGAACAATCCCAATTCTCTTAGACTTTCCCACTCCCTTCTTCTCTGTGCCTTCTTCATCTTGCTTTCATGACTATTATTACAAAAATCTCTTCAGATGTTTATATCTCAGGAAGCTTTAATGTCCAGCTAGGATGTGATAATGGAAAGTGTTGTGCTACCCACCTAAAAGTTGTGGAGGAATTTCACAGTGCACATGATAGATTGAGGATCTTAAACCTTAATTTTCTTCACAATCCCATGGAGGCTTTTGCAAAGCTTTTCCTACATTAGTGTTTTGCTTAACTGAGCCTGTCCTCTGGGTGCGTTTCTATCCCAGTAGGTTATTCCCAAACAGCATTTTACCTACGGACATGGGCAGAATGTGTGAAATGCCTTCAAAGTGACAAATTTATCTTTTTCTGTGAACAGGGTGGTGATGCTCTTCTCTAGAGACCAGTGAGATATTTGTGTGCTGAGGCACAGTTTCTCTAATGATCTTAGAAGAAGTTTGTTAGAGTGTAACATAAAAATCCCTCTGCCCAAGAAAGCAAGTAGATGAGAAGTGTGTTAAAATGATTTTTCTTTTTTTCCTGAGTCCATTAGATTTAAATGCATTTGGCAAGCTGAGGTATGAATTTGAGCTTATGTATAATTAATTATGTTTGTAGACCAGACTAGGGAAAATGCCATCAGTTAGGTTGGATGGGACCACAGTGGGTTGTCTGCTCCAACCTCCCTGCTCAAGCAGGGCCATTCTAGGGCATGTTCTGGTAGGATACTGTGCTATGCCAGGTGCTTGGGTGTTTTAAAAGCACATCAAGGTAGTAAAAATAGGACCAAGAAAAGTGGTCTTGCTGAAGCAGAAGGTGGAGGGATGAGTGTTGATCCTGAGCTCTGGAAGGTTGTTCATTCCTGGGAATGAGCTTGGTCACTATAAGGGTTGGTTCCCACACAGCTGAACTCACTTGTCCTTGTACTGTTTTTCTGTGCCACCATTTTACTGACAACCCTCACCTGAGATGTTTACCCTTGTGTTGAATCTGTCCCATTCCAGGATTCTCAGATGGTAATAGAAGCCTTTAAATCAGGGTTTGAGCCTCCGGGAGACATCGAATTTGAGGACTTCACGCAGCCGATGAAGAGGACTGTGTCTGAATCCAGCCTTTCCAACTCCAGAGGGGAGGGGAGGTCAGAGATGAAGTTTGGTAGCAAATCCAAGGGCAAGTTATGGCCATTCATCAAGAAAAATAAGGTACTGACTTGCAAACTTGAGCGTGGTGTTAGTATGTGTTTAGTCAGTAGCCTCTGTCTTGTCTAGTAATGCTGGCAAGTTCAGCTCTTTCTAAGAGAGTTCTAGATTCAGAAAGTTAATAACTGATGTCTTAATATGGTGTTTTGTGGTAGTCTTTGGTTACTTAAGTTTCTTGATACCTTTAATTTTTTTCTTGTGTAGTTTCTTGAATTATGTTGCGGTTTTGAAATTAATTTAACTTAAGTTGTCATGTCTGTGCCATGGTCCATTTCTGTGCCTAGCTCTGAGAGGGAATTGTAAACCACTTACTTAGTGCCATGTGTGCCAACTAACATTGTTACTTGTGGGAAGCTTTAATGTGGCATTACTGTTTTGACACTCCTAAAACTCTCCTTGGCTTTTCATGTGTGTTATCTTTCCAGTCTGTGCACTGGGGTCAGCAGGGTTGGGGCTGGGAACAGGGAATCAAAGCACAACTCATGGAGCAGAACTAACTGAGCAGTTGACTTTTTAAAAGACCATATTAACTTATGTATCCATTAAACCTTCTTCATTCCACTGTCATATTTTATACCATAATGCATGGCAGCATTTATCTGGGGTGACCAGAACGTGTCAGGGGGACTGGACTTGAGTTTTTTCAGTAACACTGATGGAAGCCCAGAGTAGCTTTGTTGTTTTGAGCTCACCTTTGCTCTGACCCAAACCACTTCTAATCAGACTCCAAAAATCTACCTGTTCACAATGGATCGTTCCTGTAATGTTGGTATAAGAGAGAACTTGGCTGTCTGGTGCTTACATCAGTGTAGCCAGAAAGAAAACCACCACCAGGATTAACTCCTGAGCAAATTCATAGAATAATTTGTACAAGTGAAGTGTGATGCACATGGCTGAGGTATGATTTGGAAGCAGGAAGGAATGTGGTTTGTTGTTTTCCAGATAATAGAAACGCTACTGGCCACTAAGGTACCTTCCTTATCTGATCCATTTAAATTCAGGTATTTGAAAGCTCTATCCATATGCATTATTCCGAGCTGTCCACAGAGCAGATCAGGGCAATTTATGGGGATGATAGTGCTGCATGGAAGAGTCTGCATGAGCTTCCTTCAAAATATTCTTCTTATTCTTCTGTTGCATCACTTCCTAAAACTTTCATTCATCACCCTCTTCATTTAACATGACTCTGAAATACTGCTGCTTTCCTCCCCTCTTTTTCGAACCATGGCCTTTAATATTTGATTATTTGATTGTTTTTTCTCTGAATTTCAAATATTGGTTTTGATGCTTATTTTCGTTTTGTGTTTTATCTTTTTATTTTGGTTTTTATTCTGTCACTTCTCCATCTCTTATACGTAGCTTATGTCCCTTTTAACATCCCCCCATCAGCCCCCTCCTCCTCCCCCTGCCTCTGCCTCACCCTCTGCTGTTCCCAACGGCCCCCAGTCTCCCAAGCAGCAAAAGGAACCCCTCTCCCATCGCTTCAACGAGTTCATGACCTCCAAACCCAAAATCCACTGCTTCAGGAGCCTAAAGCGCGGGGTAAGTTCTCCTCTGGATCTTTCTCTCTCTCTCTCTTTCTTTTCTTTCTTTCTTGCGCTTTTATTGCACGTTCTGTTATGTAAAAAAAACTTGTTTTGTTTTGTGAATGATTCCATTGTGTTTTATCATAACATGCAGACACAAATCCAAGGATTCTCAACCTGTAAAGCCATTTGTAGTCAAAACCCCCACAGTGAAACCACAAAAAGTAGAGTTGCTGATGGAAATCACCCATTTGAGGGGAGGGAAGGGTTGAAGAAAGTATGGAAGGAGGAGCTGAACATTAGGTAGTGCTCATGTAGAAGTCAGTCTTTAGGTTTTCTGTCTGCAGGGTGAGTTCAGTGCAATCTCTGTATCAGAAGAGTAAATTAGGGGAGGGATTTGAGAAAATAATTGTTGTGATTTTGGTTGGTGCAAGTTCAGGCATTTCCCTGAAATGATCAGACACTCACTGGAGTAGTGAAAAATTCTGTTCCAGGCTCTCAGCTCATGCATGAGCTGCTGCAGTGTTAGCTGGTGTGGTAACTCTGAGCCTTGAGCTAGGAAACAGGTGAGATGTGAAGGGTGAACTGATTCTGGGTGGTAATAAAGTTGTTTCTGTGGTCCATGTGTGCTTTGAACCATGTGTTGGGAGAGACTGGGACACACACACCAAAGCTCCCTCAGTTACACTTGGTTCTAGATATTTGGGGCTGACACTTCTGAAGGGCCTTAAATGCATCCTGTAGCATGAAGCCAGTAAGATTTGGATAAGGTTTGATTTGAATCCTCTGGAGAACCAAAGAAATCCCAGTAGGTTTATCATATCTGGCTTTGGGCCTCCCTGGGCAGACAGTGTGGGTTAAGCAGGTTTAAAAGTGCCCATGGAACAATTAAAATTCTGCCATGCTATTTTTTTTAATTAGTTTTAAATGTGATTTTTTTCCCCCACAATTCTTACTCTTCACACTTTAAATGTCCATGAAATATCTTTGCAGAAATACCAAGAGTTGAGAAACTCTTTGCAATAGCTGCTGTTCTTGTAAACTATGGAGGGAGGAACTAACTGAGAGTTTGTTAAACTTTATGATGAAGCATAGCAAAACTAGAGAAAAAGTGTCCATGCTTGGACCTTACAGCCTTCCCTACAAACAATAGCATGCAGAATTGTAGGTCAGAAATCTTTCTCTGGGCATTTCCCATGAAGATTTTGTTGTTTTCTGAACCAAGGTTCACTTCCCAGTGATATGACACACGGTTTCAAATCATATTCTGTGTGCAAAAGCTTTATCAGTGCAGTATGCAGGCTCCAAACCCTTAGGGATTAGGGTTTGGTTTCTTCTGCCAGCAGCTGGAGTGCAGTGTGTTAATGCTGGTTAAGCCTTGCATGGTGCAAAGGAGCTGAAAGACTCTGTGGCTGAGCTCAGGGATTCACCTGGGTCTAGGTCACACTGGATCAACATTTTGTGGCACATCACCACTGTTCTAAGGTCAGTGTCTCTGTCTCCTTTGCTGTTGATAGAGTGAAAAACATGGCCTGAGTTTTCCCAGGTCAGCTGCTGTTCCTGTTGCTGACAGCAGCTGTGGTTCTATTCATAAACTGATGTTGAAGTGTTTGTGTTGAATTCAGTCCTCTCATTGGAGGTCTTCATAAGCAGTAAATAAAATGACAGGTCCCTGAGATAAAATTTTCCATTTTTCAAACCAAAATAAGACTTTGTCTTCCCAGAAGCTCACACATGGCACAGTTGTGCTGAAAAATTGCTTGCACAGCAAGGCTTTGCCTCCTAGGTGAAGGTCCTTAGAATTGTTTCCTCTTGTAAAAATTACAGGAAGGAGACACAAGTGTTCAATATTTTAAATGTTTTTCAGGGCAGACTGTAACAGCAAGGAAGTGACTACTTTAAAAAGCCCAAATTCTTCTCCAGGGACTGCACTGACATTTAGGACTGAGGACTGGAGCAGTATAAAAGCAGAGATGGTTTCAGTGGGGAACTTCAGTGGTTAGTAACAAAGAACTGAGAGCAGTGCTGTAAACAATACACTGTCTCATCTGCTTACAGGCAGTGCAGTTAAAAGAGCATTATAGACAGTGGGTTTCAGTTCTTTGCTAGGAAATTGCCATTAAATGGGATACTCAGAGCCCCCAAAAATCCTGGTGTGTTTCAGTGGGGAAGTGGGAAGTTTCCAAGCTGTCCAAAGGCAGAGTCTGTCCATGTCCCTCTTTTCTCAGTTGCAGTTTGACTCAGAGCATCTTTCCTCGGTGGTTTTTATGGGGGGGGAGACAGTTTTAATTCTGTTTAAATCTACTAGTTCATAGTTCCACAGGCGTGTCACAAGTTTGCAATTCAAATTCTTACTCTGTGTTTGGCCATATAAGCAATTGTAACTAATTGCTTTCAATATTTGCTGCAGAAAGGTCATTATTTTATGTATTAACTGTCCAAGAAATCCAAGCCAGCCTTAAAAATTCTGCATACTGTGTTGTTTTAAGTGCTTGGTGTGAAAGGCAAAGCAATGGGAACAATGTCCTATAGTCTTCTCTGGAATCCCTCAGATTTCTGCTGACCCATTCACTGAGGATGTGCAAGGAAAGGCTATTGCTAAATCTTAATTTAAACCTTTCACTGTTCTTTTTCGATTTCATTTCCTTCCCTTGTCAGCTACCAGGATGTTTGCCTGTAAATACTTTTCCTGCCTGACTCATCCCCTGGATTTGGAGGCCAATGTTCAGATCATCATCTCTTTTTCTCCCAGAGGGATGAATTCAGGCCACTTCATCCAGAGCTATGGAGGAGGAGAGGCTGCAAACCTCTGGCAGCTTGCTCTGTCTCATTGGAAAGCTTTTCAAATTCCCATTTCACAGGCCTTTGGTGATTTGTGTTATACAAATGGTCATGCTAAAAGATCATGAAAGTGCCATATGACCTTCAAAAAGAAATAATTCCAACCAGGCAAAAAGGAAATCAGGAACCTCCCACAAATCCTGTTAATTTATCAGCTGAAAAACGAGTGGTTGTTATTTGTTTCAGTTGATATGACAATGACCCCTGTTATATTGAGCAGAGCTAGACAATACTGTTAATTCTGCTTTAACCTTCTTAAGTTTAATAAGATTTCCTTTTCTCAGTCCTTTTCCATCCCTCTGTCAAAGCCAAAAGCATCTGAATTTTGTGCAGGAGCATGAGCAGTAATGTGAGAAACAGTGGGTTGTGTTCCCAGAGAAATGAGGAGGATGTAGGGTGGAACTCTACACCAAAGAACATCAGATCTGTACAGGGAAGCACCTTTGGGAAGGTCATGCAGGGAGCCAGCAGGAGAGCACAGAGTGATGAGGGTTTGACTTTGGACACTGAATCATTTCTTTGCTCTGAATATTGTCTCTGCACTGCTGGCTTTGTTCCTTGGCAGAATTCCACTCCAGCCAGGCACCTTGCAGTGCAGGTGGCCACGAGGCACTTCAAGTGTTATTTTAGAGGATTTGACCAAATTACCAAGCAGGTCCTTCCTGCCTTTGTGGATAACCTGAGCTCTGAACTCCTCCAAAGCCAGGCTAACAGTTTACTTCAGAGGAAAGAGGATCATACTCCTTTTTTGCACAGGAATAAGGAAAAGCAACTCCTTGATGTGAACAAGCCCTAAGCCCTTAACAGGATAAATTCCAGCAGCAGAACTGCAAGTTGTAATTGATCCTTGAAACATAACACGTGAATGGATTCCCACACAGCTCCTCCATGCAATCTGTGAGACCAGGAGGTGTCTGAAGAGGCAGTGTGTTTTAGCCATTTCCTTCTAAAACTTTGGGTTAGCATCTTATGTTGCATTTGGAAAGAGAAATCACAAAACTAAAGTGGCAAAATCACAAAACTAAAGTGGCAAAATCACTGGTGACTGTTGAAGTGAATGATATAATTAGCTCTGATTTGTCCTGTGCCCAGTGCCCAGTCTGGTTTTAATTTTGCTTCCAAACCAAAAATCCAATGACTCTTGTTTTCATGGAAGGAAACAGATGCCTGAACAACTCACAACAGATGCAAGGTTAATGTGGAGGCGCCAACACCAGGATCAGTGGTCACTGCCAATATGAAATCCTAGTCTGTTAAAAAAAGATAGATTAAATATTTAAGTGCTGACTCTTGTCAGTGTCTATGGTTTTCTAATCACATTTTTGTATTTCCCTCAAAGCTTTTTGCTTCTAATCCTGACAGCAGAAATGTCCATTATAGGGAATACCATAAAACTGTTAGAGCACTTATTATGAATCAGAATGAGAAGGGGGGGGAAAAAGTCTTAGACAGTTTTTGTGAGTGCTGTTTCTAATAGTCCCTAAAAAAAAGGCAGTATAAAAGGTAGTATAACACTTCAACTCTGTCTCTTTAGGGAAGTTAAAGCCAGAAGAGTCCAAAGAATGAGGAACCACTTACATAACTCATAATTTCATTTATGCTTACTCTGCTTTTTCTAATTGCCTTTTGAGGACAAAGAAACTTGGTATTCTGCTGGTTGATACTAATGCTGTGTTCTTTTGTTTTATCGCTGTAGTGACAGTAACATCAGCACCTTTATTTCAAGAGCAATACTCCTGAACTAACAACATCCAGGGGTAGAACTTACACCTTTGAATCCTCACTCTGTGTGCATTGTGTGGACTTTTCTGTTCTCTCCTGCCTCGGAGCTTGTGTTGTGACGAGCAGAGAGGATGGTCTGGGAGCTGGGACAGAGATTACTGCTGTTATCCAAGTTCCAGCCTCCAGACAGTTCCATAAAGCACATGGAGGAACTTTTGTGGTTTCCTTTCTAGTGGAAGTTGTTGACTTCATTACAATGTGATTTTATTTCCCTTGCACCAGTGAATGTTCTCTCTCCCCATCCCTCCGTGCCACACTGCCCTCCTGCCCCTCCACACGGAGCTGTCGCTCTGCCTGAGTGAGCAGTACTTTGTTGTTCTGTGAGCATGCAGAAACAGCAAACAAACCACCCCCTCTCCAACCTGCTCTGTTCCCTGCCCTGGGAATACTTGTTGTTCTAACGTAAGTGTCTCTATCTGTGCCAGGACTGGGAGTTTTTGGCGGGTGGGGTCATTAAAGCCATTCCAGCACAGAGGGAGATGTTTTCTAACCTTGCCTGTTTTAAGCTAGCATTTAAACCCACAATATTTTCTGGCTTTTGTGAGCATGCTGAACTCTTACTATTCACCTAGTTTCTAGGAAGCTCCCACTGTGCACTTTGAGGCTGGTTAAACACCAAACTGCCTTTTGCTGTAGCAGTAAGCACAGAGGTGCCGCGCTCGTCTCCGGTGTAACCAACGTGTGTTTTCTCTTGCTGACTCACCAGCAGACACAGTCTTTGTATATTCACAAAGAACTCATGAAGAGGACTTTAGGGACACCCACGTGTGCCGTTGAGGCTAGGGAATATGTTGTAAGTCCTCGTATGGTGTGATCAGCCCATACTGTTGCTACACAGTCGCTAACCCCACTTACAACGCCGTTCCGAGTGTGCTGTGAGAATGTGCTTGGGCAAAGAGCAAAGGAAAATTTGGTGGGAGGCAAGTTGCAGCTTACTGTGTGATGTGCAGGAAAGATACGTCTGCTAGGCCTGGAAATGCTGAAATTGGCACAATTGAAGTAGGTGGACCTGTGAGATTCAGAGTAAGTGTTACGAACAGGTTCCACATTTTTAGTCTAAATTTTTTACAAATGCATCCTTGAGCATCATGAGCCAACCCCTGATGGACAGCAGTGTGGTGACATGTCCTGTGCCTTGGTTGTGGAGCACTCCCTAGAGCCTTTGGAAGCTTCCCTGAACTGTCTGTAATGATGATAGTTCATGGAATCGAGATACATGACCTCTAAATCTGATACTTGGCTAAAGCAGAGTATGGGGAGATTGTTGCAGGGCTGCTAAAATGAAAGAAAATTGCCTCTTGGTTGTGTGGAAGTTGAGTGATTTTTATTTCAACCCTGTTTTCTGTAAGTGAGGTTAGTGTCCGTGACTGTCCAATAACACATGGACCTGCTGGCTTTTCATGCTCTCTCATGTGTTATTGAAGCTTGTGGCTCTTAGACTCTTCATTTTTTCCCTGCAAGACTAAGCTAGGCTTGGTTTAAATTGACAGCTTGAAACAGATTTGCTCATTTTGAAGCAACTGGGGGGAAAACGCCTCTGTTTTCTCAGGAGCTGTGAGCAAGTTTCTAGCTGTGAAAACCCAACAGAGTGGGCAAAAGTAGTTCTGTAGTGTTTAATGCAGATTGAAAAGAAATCTGCTTATGTTTGTTCATAGCAACTGAATCACTGTCATGTAAAATTACCAATACATTTCAGAAATGGAAAACTGAATATGACTTATTTCAGCATTTCATTGTTTCCAGTCTATGATCTGCTTTATTTGCACTGGTTATAACAATCCCTGAAGTACTATTTGGAAATGCTATTAATAAATTCTCTATTTTTTTGTCATACTTAACAGCATAAGAATTGGGCATACAGTGTCTGTAATCCCTTTCAAATTTGCTGAATTTACAGCAAGAGAGTAGTCTTGATGCAGATGATTCTCCGCAGTAGTTAGTGCCTCTAGAGTGAGTAGCATTTAGCAACTAGCGCATGTAGCATTACATTTGTGCCTTTTTAGAGTGCTTCATAGGTAAATATTTATCCTGCACCATGAGTCTTGTCTGTATATCTCTGTACAAGAATCTCAATTTGTGCTGATCATGTCTATGCTAAAGTTCACAGGAGTGCTAAAGCAATGATGCAAACACAAGCTGCCTATGCTGAATTTCTTCAGATCATTCTCTCTCCTTCCTGTATGATTATTCTCTCAAATGAACTGGTTATGTTTGCTTTTTTTTTAATGACCTCTTTAGCTTAGTGAATTTTCTTCATGGCACTGTGATTATTGTGTTTGCTTCCTAATGGGCTGGACTGCAGAGGGAAGTCTCACTGTTGCCTTGTCACTGAATGATCAGTTGACATGCAGCATTTCACTGTTCTTTCAAGGCTGTTTGTTTTCCTTGGATGACTGGCATGTGTTGTAGAAATCCTGATAACTAATGGGCATTGATATTTTTGGAAAAAAAAGTGTATTTCTTAAATCAGCTGTCAAACACATTATAGGCATGGAGCCACTTTTAATTCCAGCCCTAATGAATTGCTAAAAATGGAGCATCCCTTTGAGAACACCATTCCCAGGAGCTGTTGGTAGTAAAGTGGCAGAGAACTCTTGAATGGAGAGAGGTTCTGAAGTCTGACAGCACAGATCCTTGCCTGGAGAGAGGCATTTTCCAGCTTTTCTGTTTGAGCTGTTGTTAGCAGGGAGTGTGAGCACTCCAAGGCTGTTGAGGAGTTGGGGCATTTCACAAGTGTCCCCAAAGAAGAGCTGGTAGGGCAGCTCAGTGCCGCTGGCTGGAGGAGGAGGCTGGGTGGAGTTCTGATCCTCCCTCTCTATCTGGCTTTAGATCTTGAGCAGCACCTCACTCCTGCTCCTTGGCACAGAGCTGAGCACTGGAGCACTGTTAGAATCCTTCTCTTGGAGAACCTTCTGAACCACAGCATTTCACAAGTGTCCCCAAAGAAGAGCTGGTAGGGCAGCTCAGTGCCGCTGGCTGGAGGAGGAGGCTGGGTGGAGTTCTGATCCTCCCTCTCTATCTGGCTTTAGATCTTGAGCAGCACCTCACTCCTGCTCCTTGGCACAGAGCTGAGCACTGGAGCACTGTTAGAATCCTTCTCTTGGAGAACCTTCTGAACCACAGCTGTTGTAACAAGCACTGTTAGAATCCTTATCTCTTGGAGAACCTTCTGAACCACAGCTGTTGTAACATCTTGTGACATTGGAAGAGGCTTTGGTAATTTAGGTGGTCGAGTGCCTGGGCACAGTTGTCCACCTGGCAGTGCCCAGAGCTGTGTGTGCAGGTGTCACCTGGCAACTTCTGGGGCCCTGCAGCAGTGCCCAGAGCTGTGTGTGCAGGTGAGACAGGGCAGAGATATACCCCACGATGCTGCCCAAGCTCTGTGGGCACACACTGCTCTTAGATTTGCTTTCCCAGAGTCACTAAAAGATAATGTTCTGGCTCTGTCCCAGGAAATGTGGTAACTTTTGAAGAATTAGATCATGTATATCATTTAAGGAGCTTGAATCATGTCTTACCATGCTGTCATAGAATCAATTTGGTGTCAAGAGAATAGATTATTTTTTCCCTCCTCCTTGGGCCTGACCTTGTCTGACTATGGCCAAAGTACGTTTGAGTCTGAGTATTTGTTTTTGAATTGTTCAAGAATGTGAAATGACTTTCCATGCCTGCCCAGACAGCAGTGTGCAATCAGCAGGGCCATTTCAGGGCTCTGTCCTTTGGCCATAGCCCGAGAGTTGGGCAGTCACAGGAGATCCCATCGTGCTGCTGGAGGCCAGGGCTGTATCAGCCACTGCACTGAGCTTTGCCTTGGGTGTTACCTCCTCTCTGAAACCCTTGGGTGAAGTGGCTGATGCATTTCAGCACCTTTTTGGTCTAAAGTGACCCATGTACATTTGCAAATTCTGAGTTTTTCCCACTTTAGTGATGCTGTTGTAGCAAGATAAATCTTTACTCTGGTTGTAGCTGCTGTCAGTCAGTCCAGGGCCAGTTTTCCCCTGCAGTGCTAAGCTCACCTGTGTCCAGGTACTTCCCATTCCTGTTTTCTGGTGAGGATCTGGCAGCTGCCTGAGCCCATCTTGTGAACTTTTGCACAGATCTGTTAGTGTTACCCATTTTGCCTTCCAACAGCAAGGGGATTATGTGTCATTTTATTGTAACATCAGTCTGAAAAAGTTCCTCTTCTACTGATGCACTGTTGTTTTTTCTCTCTCCCCCCCCCACCCTGTATCTCTCCAATTTTTACATGAAGCTTTCTCTCAAGCTGGTAAGCACATTTACAGCATGCCTGTCCTGTGTTTTAATCACAATTTCCTGTGTGTGTTTAATGTGCACTGTGCCACATGTGACATGACACTGAAATTAACTGTTAAATCTGTTTCTTCTTTGTGTTTGCTTTTTTTGACATTTATCAGATAACTCTGAATACACAGGTCTGGAGTCTAATAGAGGTGATCAGAATTAAGTCTCCTAATAAGCTGCTAAAAAATTAACTCTAATATATAGTTTAGTTTTCACTTTTATAATCTAGGGCTATGAAAATGTAGAAAACCACTATCGAGTAATTCTGCTACTGCATAAATACACATAAAAAGGAGGAGAAAAAAATAACAACAAAGGTCTCTGTGCTTGCTGGACCTTTTCCAGAGAGCAGTGCATGTCTTTCTGTGTAACACAGCTGCAAAGTTTGCTTTCCATGTCCAGGTATTACTGGAAATCTGCATCATGATCACCTACATTTTACAGCCCTATGTAGTCCTTGAGAAATAACCAATAATTATATTAATTCAAGTTCTGTAAACTTTAACCATTAAGGTTAACTCAATCTGATTTGAATTTGCACACGGAGAGATATGCCTATGTGTGAATCTCAAATTCTGTCTTGGATGCAGCTGGGAAGGTTTCTTGAACTATGGTAAGCTAAAGATGTCACTGAGTTGGAAAGGGAAGGGGTGAACAGACTTGGGAAAGCAAATTATGTGCTGAACTTCATACACAAGGTACTGTATTGTTTGAGACACACTCCACACCTTGATATGTTCCTGACAGCTTGTCTGCATTCCTTTGGCCTTGGAGAGCCCAGTCACAAGGAGAATGAGGCTGGTTTGCTGACCCACCTCGTGCAAGCATGCGAGAGCCACGGTGTCTGCAGTTTGGGAGAGCCTCAGAGGATCCACAGTAGCACCTTAACTGCATTAGCTTGAATGTTCTCTTATTCCTCACCAGTTAGTGCCTTTGGGTGCTCTATTTCCCCTACATACACATTGTACTTGGATACATCATTGTGGGTTTGTTCTGCTTGTAGCAGCTCATCCGGAGGAAACACGTGGGCTGAGAGAGCTGCCTGGGGTAGCTGTGGAGGTTTTGGGTCCTGCTGCTGCTCTTGCCAGCATAGTGACTTGCTTGGGCTCCATTAGCAATGTTGCTTCTCACTGAGGGCCTGTGGTAGGTCTGAGAAATGATGGAAGTGCCTAGAATGCTTGCAAACCTTTTGGCTGTTGCCAAGCCACTGTCCTGGGAGTCCAAGGCATTTATGCCATGGATTTCCACTTGTTTTCCTGGTCACAGTGCTGGTGTGTTGTGCTTGTGTAGCTGAGCTTGTAGTGCTTGTGCAGCTGAGCTAAACCTTTTTATGTAGGAAGAAATCCTCCCAACATAGCTCACCTGGCCTTGCCCCAAGAACTGCAGAAATCAGAAAGATGTGCAGAGAGGGCTGAGACCCATGTGTCCCTCAGGTGGGGAAAGCAGCTTGTTGTAATCTCCTCTTGGATCCTACCTGTGCAAGAGCCAAGTCTGGGGCTGATAAAGCTCATGCTCTCCCCGTGTGTATCTTCAGCCCAGAAATTGATCCCTTTGTCACAAGCTGTTATCTTGGGACAATTTGTATCCCAAATCTCGGTGTCTTTTTGCAAGGAAACTGAGTAACTGCAGGCTCTGCTGATCCTGTGACAGCACATCAGAAACAGCACATCTTTCCCTCCCCCCACTGCTGCTGCATTTCTGAAAACATAGGCAATGTCCACAGCTTGAGAGGTAGCCCAGGTGTGGTTTTGCTTAAGAGCATGAAATGTGCTCAGCATGTGCAAAAACTGCTCCTTGACTCTCCCTTTTGGAGCAGGAGCTGGAGCTTCCCTTACGATGGCAAATTACTGAGCACAGAATCAAGTCAGAGTAGATCACCTCCCAGTCTCAGGTGTGCAGCTCTTTGTGACACTGATGCTTTGGTCTGAAGCTGCTGGTTTTAGTCCAGCCTAGAGCCTTGGAATGAACAAGTTGAAGAATCAAGAACATGATATCAAAAAGAAGATGCTTTTCCAGATTTGACTGTAGTTATCACATTCTCCTAATGTATAACTGGAGATATTTCAAGCAGATCTGTCTCCCCTGCTTAGAACTGAGGAGAATATGTCAGAATACCTCGTTTAGTCTGTCCTGTAACTGCTTGTTTCCAAAGCTGCTTCCAGATACTTTTGCCTTACAAAGATATGTATGGTTAGTGTAGGTTATCCATAAAACAGATTGAATCCCTCTCATGTCTAATGTGATGTGGGAGTTACTGTCAAGCAAAATATTAAAGAATAAAATAGATCTGTCCTTCGTGCACAAAGAGTCATGTAAGCACTGCTAGGCCTCCATGTGGTTAAAGTTTCAGCAGCTTTAGTTGTTTGTCTTAAATTTGCTTTCTCATTGTCTCATGAATGGAATTTGAAGTGTACTATCACACAGCTCATCGAGGCTTAACTAGATTTATTTGCTGTCTTTGACTGACGATCAGTCCTGCAGCAGTTTCGTCAGACCTGTTGTGTTGCTTAGCAGTGGCCAGCCCAGAGGACAAGGTGACCTGTGTGTGGTTGTCCTCCAGCCCTCTGACACCCACACACTTTCCTTCTGAACAGCTTGTTCTGCAGCTGCAGAAGAAAGAGCACAGTGAGTGCAGAGTCCAAGGTCTAATGGGCAGCACCTGTGGCAGTGTCTCCTAAATCACACTCCTCAGAGAGAGGAATTTGGTGGTTTAGTAAGATGAATATCCCAGCCCTGCTCACAAGCTTTCAGGAAGCTGATGGACCACTGAATTTGGTTATTCTGCTTCGTGTTTTACTCTTATTTCTCCTATAGGCCAATATTCCCCTTTAAAATTGGGACATGGAATGAGCAGAAGCCCAAACAAGAAAAACCTGTCCAAATTCAGGCTTTTGTACAAGAACATCATTCCTCTTGTGGTGCAACTAGTTAGCATTGATGTATGTTCAGTATAGTCCACCCAAACTGTTCTTGCCTTCTGGCAAAACACAGACAGGTGTTACTGTGAACAAAATAGTGTGGATGTATTTTATGTGTCATCTATCTGCTGTATCAAATTGAGGCAATCAAGAGGAGGCATAGCAGTGTGAAGGCAGAAAAGGGTTTTCAAGCAGAATCACACAAAGGTAACCGCTGTGGTATTCACACTTTTTTTCCTTCAGTTATGATTTCAAGTTGATTTATTCTGTGGTTTCATATAACTCCTGATTTTTATGCTAGTCTAAGTGAGAGAGGAAAAATTGAGGTACTTTGACATAGAGATGCAGGAAAGTAAGCAGCATGTTTTTAAATTGCAGAATCCAGTGGCAAGTGCTTCTGTTAGCTTGGTGTGGTCAGGAGAGCCCTGGCATAAATTTTCTGTGTTGGACCAGCACTCTGTGCAGAGCCAGCCAGCAGTTAGAAATGCACAGGAGAAGTGCAACTGTGACCCAGGGGTAAAAGCCAAGAGCTGCTTTTATGGGAATGCTGTCTGTAGCAGGTGAAGGAAGGTAGGAAAGATCAGCTTTCCATGAGAAGGGAGCTCAGTTAATTAAAATGTGATTATAACCGTAGATAAAAATAGTTCCTCAGCTTTGCCATTGAATTCTGGCAGTCTCCAGTTGGTGATTCCCATTAGGCACAGGTGTGGAAGCAGGATGTGGTCCTGGGATTGTTTGTAGGACGTGCAGATTCCTGACCATTCAGGGATTGATGTCTGTCTGACACGTAGCACAGATGCTAACAGTGCTTCAGACCATGGTGATTTTGCACAGGTGTTTGTGAGCTGTTTTCAGAATGCAATCCCAAAGGATCCTTTCAGACTCTGAATACTAATTTTTTTTCCTTATCCCCCCTCCCTCCCCATTCCACTCTGTGCAGGGAGCAGGCCCAGAAGACTTCAGCAATCTCCCACCTGAGCAGAGAAGGAAGAAGCTTCAGCAGAAGGTCGATGAACTAAACAAGGACATTCAGAAGGAGTTAGATCAAAGGTGAGTCAAAGCTTTGCAGTGAAAAATGAACTAGATAGTTTTATACAGGACAGAGCTAAAATAGCAGAATGAGCAATTAAGAACAAGGTTCTAGGGTTGGTTAATGTGCTGTTTCAAGAAAAGAACCAGAGGTTAGATATGGCTAAAAACAGCTGAGCAGTGCAAGGATCACCACAGCTCAGATTCTGAAACCAGCGATTTCATTTTGGCTGATGTAGGTCAGAGCTGGGGCAAAAGTTGCCTTTCTGTTTATTCCATTCTCCCACTTTAGTGTAATACACACCTTGCCTTTGGAATCATGAGAAGAGAAGATCCTGGCCTAAGGCTGGAACCAATAGAAGTGTAACCATTGGAGACAGCCTTTCCTACTTTCTGGAGCTGCTTTTGGGGTTTTGGAAAGGGAAAAGCCAAAGATTACTGTTAGGTGTACTGATGTTGTTTCTTGCTGTGAGCTGTTCGTGAGGGAGTTTTTAGGAAAGAACAGGATGTCAATGCAGCTTTGGTCAAAGGTACAAGCACAGACCTCCCAACACTGAGCAGAGCTCCTGCTGGACATGGAGAGGCTGTTCACAGCATAAGATGGACCAAAGCTCAAAGTCTTGAGTGTGTAACTGAAGTCTCTCTGACCTGTAGCTTAGATTTCCTGGAAGCAGGAGGATAATTACTCCTGTGCTTCTGTGGATGCTTTTTGTACAAGCCTGTATCTATCATTCTGGTTGAAAATAAGGCTATTTTAGTTACACACTTTTAATTGATTCTGGCAGCCTGTATTGTGCTTTGTGTTTGTTCACATTCTGCAGTGGCATTAAAGATTCAGCATGTTTTGTTTGCAGGAGGCAGAAGTTTCCTTCCCTGAAGGATTTCAAGACTAGTATATCCCTAAGTGCTGCTTTGCATTTGTACAACTGTACTGTGATCTTGCTTTAAACCTACTAACCCAAAATTTCCTATTGATATTTTATGTCATGAATAAGAAAGGAAAACTGCATGTGGTGATCTGATTTCTCATTGCTTTGTTTGTTTCCTCTGTGGTAACTTAAGGTTTGTCTCTGTACAGATTTCTCTCTGCTCTGTATTTATTGAGGTAACCCAGTGCTAGAATCAGGTTTGAAATCAGCAGAATGAAGTTAAGTTGAAGTAAAGAAAGTCTATGATTGAGCAAGTGGCCCCAGCAGTTAAATAAGAGTTAACCAGTAATAATTGTGACTCATATGTTTGCAATAGTGTCCCCTAGGGCTTCAGGCACAGAGCAATCCCACTTCCTTGCCACCCACACTTTTTCCCATTTTCCATGCTCACAAAGCAAAACCAGGCACAGGATTGCAATTGTCAAGAGTTTGGTGGGAAACTGGATAATATAAAGAGTGTTAACTTGAGTCGTGGGACTTGCATTAACCTTTCCTCCCCCCAGCTAATGCCTAGAGAAAAGCTGAATAGTTGTGCCAGTAATACAGGAAATCAGCTCATAATTCCACCTTTCTCTCAGCTCTGAAATGTCCATAATCAGATAACTTTCCTGTGAGCTCAGCCTCAGTGTGACGTGGGTCAGAGGCAGCTCACTGCTGTCACTGGGAGCTCATCAGGGCAGGCAGCACATTAATCCTGGCCTTGTGGCACCACATCCATCCTAGCAGGCCTCAAAGGTAACATCTGTGAAACCCTGGGAGCCTAGCATCAGGGCAGATACAGAACAGCCCCCAGAAGGGGCCGAGTGAAGATGCTGTGGGACTTGGCAGGATGCAGGGTCACATTGCACAGCCCAAGGGCTGTTTGTCACTGCCCTATGACAAACACAAACCATCTGGAGTCAGCTTCACTGGCAGCAGTGTGAAATAAATATCTTACAAATCATTTGGGTTGCTAAAGACAAACTGCAACAGGCAGGGTGAGAATTTCTGGTTAGCACTGCATTTCTGTTATTGATACAGCCATACGTCTTTGTTCCAGTTTCTCAACTGGAGGTCAGCCCATGATGGATCATTATGATGCAACTGTGCCCCAAAAATTGGGATGATACTCACCTAGAAAGTTGTAGCTCTCATTCATTGCAATGATTGCAAGGTAATGATGATTACTATCATTATGTTCCCCAGGGTTAGCAAGTAGATATTGTAGTACTACATAAAAGAACACATCAGGCTAAAAGTCAGTACCAAATATCTTCTCACTCTGTAGGTAACTTATTGTTTTTCATCTCTGACAGTATAAATTCTCTTCTAGCAAGTGATTTTACTGGTTTTTGTTAATCACTGGTGTTCTGTACAGGGGAAAATCCTCGTCTGGTGTTCTCAGTTCCCTTTGCAACAGCTTAGGTTAAGCCTCAAAGTAAAGACGTAGTAGTTTATTATCCTTTCATTTGCCCTCATTTAGGGAAGAGGATTTGTCCCCAGCTGCACTAACATGTTTTATTTTCCTTCTGCCTCTCAGAGATGCCTTAACAAAGATGAAAGATGTGTATATCAAGAACCCCCAGATGGGAGATGCAGCGAGTGTGGACCACAGGCTAGCAGAACTTGGCCAGAACATTGAAAAACTACGATTAGAAGTTCAGAAGTTTGAGGTATGAGAAGAGACATTTCAGTCAGAAGCAGCTTAGCATATGCTCAGGCCTGAACAGGTGCTTCATGACTTTTCCAGATGTGTTGATGCACTTTCTTACAGTGTGTGGTTAAGTGCTACTTGAGCACTTACATTAATTGGGATCTTCGAGCCTCTGTGTGTGAGATAAACATGCACCATCTCCTGTGACTGTCAGCCCACAGTTTAATTTGCCTCAGAAAGCAAACTGTGCTAAGTGGAGGATAAGAGAAGGGCAAATGTAGTGCTCTCTGGACTGCCCAGAGAGGTTCAGATGCTTATTTAATTAATTAAATAAACGGAAGCATCATGTTACAGATGTCTGTGGGAAATCAGTGTGACATAAATGCAAAGCACCATTTAGAGACTAGCAGGAAGACAGAAGCCATCAGGTGAAATATGTTTTGAGGGATAGTCTGCCATGAACAGGAAGCTTCTCAGCAATATAAAATGTCAAGAGCAGGAGGAGTGTTTGGAATATATAGAGCCATTATGGTCACATGAGAAGGATTATAGGGCTGAGAAGAGACTTCACTCTCCCTGCTACTCTGCACACAAACAGATACAACCCATTAATTTCAGATGTTTCTTAACAGTTGTGGCTTTACTATCCATTGCCTTCTTACCTGTTTGAAGTCAGTGACTCTTTCATTCTCCTCAGCTTCAGTTCTGGTGCATTCAACAGTCGCTGAGGTTGCATTGTCTCTGGTGTTACTGAGACTACTCTAAGCTGCCACACACCTTTTTACTTGATTGTGACTAGAGCAGCAACATCTCCTGACAGCTGATGTTAACTGCTTCTCTGGGTCATGACATTTTCAGCACCCAGTGTCAAAAAGTAGTGAAGTTTTCAGCAAAGCTAATAGATTTTATATACACTTCAACTCCAGAATCTATTCCCCTGACAGCTGCCACCTGAAAGAAAACAGATATATGTTTGCAGGCTGTTTTTAGTTCTGTAGTCTGACAGTCAGACGTGGCAGAGCAGAGTACAAGTGTTGTCTCTCCCTGGCAGGGCTGGCTGGCAGAGGTGGAGGGCAGGTTGCCCGCGCGGACCGAGCAGCATCGGCGCCAGAGCAGCCTGTACGAGGCCCAGAGCCAGTCAGCAGTGAACAGCTGTGCCCAGGACCGGGAGAGGTACAGTATCTGTACAGAGAGGGCAGCTGGACCTGCTTCCCTCAGCCTATTGACTGGGAGAGCTGCAGCTCTGCAGTGCTCACAACTTGTTCCTTAAGCAGCCTCACTGCAGGCACTCACAAATGTTTTTAGTATTGATTTTACCATGTGCAAGATCCCAACTTAAGGGCTGCTTTTCTGGGTGTGATGAACTGTGTGATAGCCCCAAGCTCATTGCTGTGAAGGCAAGTGAGGTAGTGCATTTTTTACAGCTTTTAATGGGGGAAAATGACAGGTCTCACCCATCCAGTGCCACAGCCAGTTCTGAGCATTCTTTGGAATCACTGAGCTGCTCCAGCTGCAGTTGCTCCCTTTGCATGAAGTGCCTGGTAACCAAGTGGTTCTCTCTGCTGCTGAGGTCAGTTGCTATAGTTGCTGTGTTTTTCCTCTCTTGAGCAGCCCAGATGGCAGTTACACAGAAGAGCAGAGTCAGGAGACTGAGATGAAAGTACCTGCAACAGACTTTGACGATGAATTTGATGATGAAGAACCACTACCCACCATAGGAACATGTAAAGCACTCTACACATTTGAAGGTATCACTCAAACCTTGCTCTCCTTTCACTTGTCTGATCTTTTTAGTTCATATGCCAAGAACAAATGGGAAACCTTCATCTAATCCCTGCAGTGCAAATAGCCAAAGGGCAAGTGAGACTTTGACATGATTCTGTTTGTAGAGAGGCACTAAATGGTTTGTCTCCTGTTACACAGGGACTTTGCAAGAGAAAACCAAATCTCTGGTGTCATGATCACATTTATCTGGTTCTTAGTGTACACACTGTTGACTCCAGAATCATGTGCTCCTGTTTTTACTGTCAGTGATGCAATGAAGGTTGTGTCTGTGCATGGTCCAAGGGTGCCCTGAGCACCCTGCAGTGCCTCTATGGTTCCTGCTGTGCAGGACAGCCTAAAGTCTTTGTTACTGTGTCTTTCAGGTCAGAATGAAGGAACAATTTCTGTAGCAGAAGGAGAGTTGCTCTATGTAATAGAGGAAGACAAAGGTGATGGGTGGACACGAATCCGAAGGAACGAAGATGAGGAGGGTTATGTCCCCACGTCGTATGTTGAAGTCTATTTGGACAAAAATGCCAAAGGTGCTATGACCTATATTTAATACTATTATTATTATGATTATTTTATTTGCTTTCACAGAGATACCCAACCCTGAAGCTGCTCTGTGTTGCAGATGGAGCCTTTAAAAAGTCTGTACAATGCCAGCAAGTGCATTATTCTGTACATGGACTAACTGTGGCTTGCTGTACTGCAAAACCTGCTTTTATTGCTCAGAGAAGGGTAGTGTGGGGGACTGTGCAGCCAGAGGGGAAATGCAGCCTTTGCTGGACAGTGTTTGCTCAACTGTCACTGCCATGGCATGCCCAGCTTAGTGCAGGAAGCACAAAGCCATTTGGGATGATACAGGCTCTCTTCAGATATCCAGGTGGCATCTGAGACACATGAGTCAGCTGTTTTTCCCAGCCTCATTCCATGGAACTTTATGTAGGAAACACTTAGACTGCTGCTTTGTGTCTGTGTGAGAGCTTTTCAGAGCCTTGTTGTGTTCTGGAGACCTTTTGGATTGCACCGTGGTTGCCATTTAGTGTGTGTGGAAAGGGAAGGAGAGATCTTGCCAAAACCTCTCTGCACAGCACTCTGTGGTCCTTGATAAATGGGTAAAACATTCAGAAAGCTCTTCTGTCCTTTCCTACCTTGCTACATTTCAGAAGATGTATTTGCTGTTTCAGATGACCAGAACTAATGGTTTAATCTCTTGCTCACACGAGATCAATGGAGACATTCAGAGTTTGGACTCCACAAGCTGCTGTGTCTTTGTTGCTTTTAACTCCTCCTAAATAGTTGTGTTGTGTAAGAAAACTGCTGCCTGGCAGTCCTGGCTGGAACAAATGCCAGCACTGAACACCTGGGAATGAGATACACTGAGAAATCAAAAGATTTTAGTCCTGTTTCAAATCAGGATGTGTTAGAGCTCCAGTGTTAAGTCATTTGTGTTCATTCAGTTATTTAATCCTTCAGATTCCTCTTGTGTTCCCCAGACCTTAGAGTTCTTGGTGTGAAACAAGCTGCCTCATCCAAGTCAAAAGGAAACAGAACATTCTCTTTTGGATTTATGGACAGTGGGAAGAGAGGAGTAGGACTGTGTCTGTATCCAACTCCAGCAATTCGTGGTGGTGTTTTTGGTGTTTGGTGCCTTGTCTGCTGCAGGTGAAAGTCTGGGCCTTGTTTTATTTTGCCATAATACAGGAGACTTATGTTCGTGTTGGCAAACACAGGGTCAGTTCTGATGCAAAATGGGTGCAAAAAACTCAGCCCTCTGTTGGTTTTTATTAACCTTAGAAAGAGGAATGTGGATTGTCTGTTCTCCTCCATAGCCAGAACAAGGCAGGAAGCAGAGTGGGAGATCCCATCTTGTATTCCTGTGTTCTCTCCTGTGGAGAGGGACCTGCTGCTTGGTGTGTGGCAATAGTTGAAAGCAGTGTTGATGTTCCGCTGGCAGATTTGTTGTTCAGCAGTGTAGGCTGTGTGGAACAGCAGCTCTGGTGTGGTGTCGTAGCTGTTTGGAGCACCAAGTGAGGCTTTGCTGCCCTTGGACACACAGCCTGGGACTTAGAGCAGATCACCTTGTCATGGGCAGGGCAGCAGGTTGAGTGGGAAGGGAAGCAAAGCAAATCAGGTCTCTGGGTGGGTGGGAAACCCTGGCTGAACTAGGGAAGTTGTCCATCCCCCTCTGGAGAGGCTGTAGCAGGGCATATCCCAGCCAGAAGATCATGAGAGCACATTAGTGGTGTTCTGTGAGTTACAGGATGGTGCTGAATGATGGCAAATCACAGCCTGGTTTGGGTTGGAAGGGATCTTAAAGACCATCTCACTCCAACCCCTGCCATGAGCACCTGCCACTGCAGTAAAAATGCAAACTGTGCTGGGAGTGAAGCTGTAGCCACAATGGAGGTTTTTCAGATCAGTTTTTCAATTCATTTTGCTGGAATTTAGGATCCAAAGTATCTGTGAATATCTAATGTATAGGAACTATAATGTTTACCTCTTTTATTTCTCTAGTTAAAAGGAAAAGCTAAAAGAGAACTTTTCATAGAATACAGCATAAAGATTGAGGGAAGTGCTGCTGTGTGCTACAAACTTTTTTGGAAGCTGCAAATTTCTCATTTTTATTGTGTTAGTAGATTTGACTTGATTCAGTCCTGGAAATAGAAGCAATGACATTCCTGGAAATAGCAGTGTAAATACTAAAGCATTTACAAACTTTAGTGATTCTGTTTCTGGAAAGAAGCTTGAGCAGCTAAAGATTGGTTGCAGAAGGGTGGGAGCTCCCAGCAGCTCCCAGTGACTTTCCCAGCCAGCAGAATCAGTCCTGGCTCAGTGTTACCTGCCTGGCCATGTTGTGCCTGTGCCGTGAGCCTGAGGCAGCTCTGCCTGAGAAATGCAGCTGCTAAATGCTCTGTGAGAAGCTGTTTTTTCAGTCAGCTGAAGCCTGTGCTGTCAGGGCTCTGCTGCCAAACTGAGCTGAGCAGGACAGGTAAGTTGTGTGCTCTAGTTGTCCTCCTGACTGTCATCTTTGAGGTCTGTGTACCTCTGCAGGTACCTGTGTGAGTGCTGTTGGTAACAGTGGTACCTCCTGTCAGAGGGTGTTGGCAAACCCTGTCACAAAAAGAACAGTAATGTCTATCTTGTTTTGCTTTTTTTTTTTTTTCAGATGTGTACAAACCACTTCAGAAAATCTCTGAGTAGGTTTGCATAGGCCTGTCCACCCTTTATTCTCCTGGTTTGCTGCTACGGTTGTTGTAAGAGCTCTATGTCAGAAGGTTTTCTTTAGAAGAGATGAATGCACATGTCATATCTCCATCAATGAAAGACTCTGTTAGGTACCAGTCACTCAGCTGCATGTGTCAGGTCGCCTCTGAAATGTCCATGTGCATCACAGCAGAGGAAAGTGATGGCCCAACTGTGTCCAGTTAGTGTAAACAACATTCTTGTCCTTCTGCCTAGAAACAAGAGCCACAGGGTTTGTTCTCACTGTGGCTCGTGCAGGAAACTATTACGTGCACACCTTGGTGTAGCATCTAGCAGGGCTTTTCTGTGCCTGTTGGGTGTCTGGTGCTGAGAACTGTCAAAGACAGAGCTAGTTGGGCCTTTCTGCTCAAGACTGACCATCCTGTGGTTACTGACTTATGGTACCTCATCATCCTCTTGGGAACAAAACTGTCTTTCACTGAGGGATGCTGTGAACTCGTGTAATACCCCAAAAACCTGCATGGAATAACCAGCTTTGTGTAAACTCTGCATTGCACCCAGCAAAAATGCCACTTCCAGCAGAAAGCTTGGCTGGCTGGGTGCCATGCAAGGAATTAAAGGCTGGTTTGGGAAGTTAAACTCCATGGTGAAAGCTAATTTGGAGCCATGGGTAAGAAGCATTTTGGCTTCTTGGCTGCTGTGGGTCTGTTCCCCCTCACCTCTGATGATATCCATGAATCCTTACAGACAGCTCTGGCATTCCCAGTGCTGCAGCTCTGCTGTGTGCCCTAACCATCCTGCAGAGCCTTGACTTCTGTAAATGAATAGGTAAAAGTTAACCATGCTGATGCACTTTTTATCTAGGATATATCTGATTATTTAATGCTTGCCAAATTATTTAGGAAATGGTAATTACAAACTGGACTGTGGCTTTTTTTAAACCCTTCTGTTGAATACATGCCCTTAGTTCTCCCAGGATTAAAAAAAAAACCCAACCCTGTATATAACATAACTTAAAAACTAAAGTTACTTGAATTTGGATTGTTTTTATCCTTTTATATATGTATAAATATAAATGGGTTTATAGGCTGTTCTGCTTAACCCACTTGTTTTTGGTAACTACTCAGTCCCTCTTGTGTTGCTAAGTGTTTTGCTGCCTGCACCTGGTTGGACTCACATAGAAACTGCTGTTGTGTGTTAAGGTTTGTTAAATCTGGCCAGTGTGGTTGTTTGGTTTCTATCCTTATTTTTGAAAGAATCATCCTCTGTCAGGAATCTCTTTATAGCTCGATGTACCATGGTGTCTTCTTCTAATAAACATTCTATTTTCTCATTCCTGTGAGGTTTTGTTTGTTGGGTGGTTTATTTTTAATGAAAATTTACTAGCAAATGGCAAAAAGTAGTGATGTTGAACTTCACTAGCAAAGGGCTCAGAGCTGCTTCCCACACTGCATACAAATGCAATCCCTGTTAAGGAAAACTATTGTGTTGTGGCTCTGTGAAAACCTTTTTGTTCTGTATTTCAGTGCTGGGTTTTTTTATGAAGTGGGTGCAAAGGAGATGGGAAGGTTCTTGTGTTCTCTCAAATGCAAGGAAAGTTTGGACTCATCCTGTATTCCCTTAGATACAGCAGTTTGGGCCAAATCACATTCCTGGATTGTAGCTTCACTTGGCCATGGGAAAAACTTGACCTGAGCCAGAAGTCTGTGGGTACAGGGATGGACAGAGAACAGGTTTGGAGGCTCAGCTTGGGTCACTGAGCTGTGTGTTCCTGGGCCTCCCTGAGAACAACAGGTCTCTGCAGCCTGTGAGGGAAAGGAGAGCTCTGGATTCCTCTGCACATTCTGTGTTTTAGCTTCCTGGTGTTGTTCAGTGTCAGGGATGGTCTCTGGAGCTGCCACCTGACACATTCAGTCTGCACAGGAGAACTCACTGTAAATGAACAAGTGATCTGTTCTCTCAGGGACACAAGTAGGTGCTGTAGGTCCTGCTGTAGTTGCTGCTCCTGAGTTTTACATCCTTCTCCCAGTGATGCTCATCCCCAGGCTGGAGGGAGGGCTGAGGGTGAAGGATTGCTGGTTGAATTAGGAGCCCTCCTTAACCCCCTGCAACCTTGTAGATGCTTGGATGCTCTTTCCTTTAACCTCCTGCAGGCAGTGCTGCTCTTGAGGGATCCCATTTTCCCCAACCTCTTTCTAATCCAGTCTCTTTCTTTTTGTCTTTCTTATGTTTTAGATTCCTAAAGGTGTTTGTGCTGGTGCAAGAACCTCGGGGCGAGCTTGTCACAGAAGGAGAAACAAAATGGTCTGTTTACCCTGCAGGCAGTTAAAACACTCCCATGGAAAGCCATACTCCCAGTCTTGTCTGGAGTTCCCACTTGAAAAATTCAAACATAAATTTCATCCCAGTACCATTCAGTCGCTTGCTCTTTTCCATGGCATGCTACTTGTGGCTTGGATCACCTTATCAGCCTTTCCCATTCTTCTGCCAGCTGCACAGTCCTTCTGTCACTCATAACCCACACCTTCCCCCACCCCATTCCTCCCAACTTCTGTCAGAGAACCACTGGCTGCCCCTGGATGCAGAGAGCAGCTGGAGAGTCCTAAGCATGTTCTGGTCTGTCTTCTGTCCCCCCTGTCCCTCAGTCCATCTGAATGTACACACTGGTCCATCAGCATTTCACACAGTGCCTTTAGTGCTAATCCTGCAGGAATTCTCATCAGAGAGCGTGAAAGGGAGAGGTGTATCCCCCTGGAAAACCTCCCCTGGGACCAGTGGTACAGCAGCTGGACTGGGCTCTGAATTTGCAGATACTCAACTTGATCCTACATGCATTATTCAATATTCTGCTTCCCCCAAAAGGTCACTAATACTTGTCAGCCTTTATTATTTTTTTCCCCTTTAAATCTAGGCTGATGCTCATTCCAAGTAGTAAACCCCTCTGCCCTTGCTGTTTCCTGAAATCCTGCGAGCTCATGTATGTACTTGTCTCCCTGCTGGTTCTCTGCCCCTCCTCTGGCTCTCCCTGCTCTCCCTCTGGCACACACAGGCACACACAGACACAGACTCTGGCATTTTGGTGTGAAGCCCCACGTTGCTGGCCACAGGCCTCTGTTTGGCTCTGGTTTCAGCCTGCATGCTCGCCCTGTTGCCTTGCCTGCGCCCACCTTCCTCAGGGTCACCTTACATTGTGGCTCGTGGTTAATCTCTTTGCAGTTCTCTTTTGTTGGTTTGTTTGTTTTGCAGCATTTCAGACCTGCCTTCTCTTTTTTTTTTTCTTTTGTTTTGTTTTGGTTTTTTGCATGACCTCCTGTGCGTTCTCATCAGTTAAGGTTTTGAGTAACAGAGTTATTTTAGATAAATAAAAGGGGGAAAAAAAATACAGAAACCACACTATTTCCTTCTCCTACCTTGTCGTGGACTGGACCTGGACACAGCAGCCAGACAGGAATTGTGACCACCTTGTTCTCACGTGGTTTGGTTTGAAGCAGAAGTAGGATGATAAGTGATGCTGCACTTTATCATGTCACACAGTGGGGAGAGAGCTGCAGTGTCTCCAAGTATCACACGATCTGGACCTCGTCTGCCTCAGAAAGGCTCAATTGCTCTCTAAACTTCTGTGTTGTAACTTGGTTTCCCTTCAGTCGTTACCATTGCTTGGGTTTTACAGTCATCTTGGACATGTTTGAGCCCCAGAAGAGTCACCTACCACCAAACAGCTCCTGAGGGCTGAATTTATTCCTGGATCGACACATCCTTTGGAGGAATCCACTGGCTCTAATTCAACTTCAGCACATTGTGTGAACTCCACACGAGTGGAGATATTTTACATCAAAGCCACTCTGGGCAGTGACCCTAAAATGAAACCTCTCAGGGTTACCAGTGCTGTTTTGCTGCCTGCTGTGCTGTGGTGTGGGGTCAGCACATAGAAACATGTCCCAGGATCACAGACTCTCCGTGCTGGGGGTGGCCTGGGCTATCTCCATGCAGGATGAAGTCCTTTTTGACTTGAGTTACGTGTTGTGTTCATAACTCTGTCCCTTTCTCTCCATTCAAGATACCAACCTTTGTTTTTACTAGCACAAAGTCCCTTGGTGCTACAGTTCATCCTGTAGCTGTTGTCTGATGGTGCTTAATACCTTCCAGCATCAACCAGCAAAAGGTTTGTGGTTTAATCCAACCCAAGTGGCTCCAGAGCCTGTGCTGAGTACAGGCAACACCAATGCCAAGGCTGTTCATAATGGGTCATAATCCATTGAATCACATCCTTATTGCTGCTACTGTGGTCACTGAGCTGTTCAGATCCAAGAGCAGAATGGGATCCACACAGGTGGCACCTGTGGCCTCGTGCAGAGATTTGTGCAGAGGCTTTGTGGCCTCCATCTGTCAGGGGATCTAAGGGGTTGAGCAAAACTAACCTTACAGTACTTTTAGCTGCGGTGTTGTTATTCTCGTGTCCAATGCACTGTTGAATCAGCAGCTGAGAAGAGTTAATTTTCACCTATTGTTGTGCCATCTCTGTATAAATTAGATCCAAGTTTGCTTTTTTCTATATTTAACCTGGGTGGACAGTATATTATTGTCAGCCTCTGTGGAACGTTGGAACAAATGCAATGTCTGTGTTACTGAATGGCACTGTAGAAGGAGCATTAGCTTTAGCTGACTGAGGGACTCCCAAACTTCTCTTGAAAGACCAGGAATGGAGTTTTTATAAACTTGGCAACTAAGTTCCCAAAATCCTGGATGTTAAACCTTCCTAAAAACCCAGTGACAGTCCCGTGTCACAGCCTCCACACATTGTTCTGCTGCCATTATTCAGGGTAAGGAATGAGGAATTTTTGTAGCATTTACCTTTGGCAAACGCTGAAGAACTAAAATATGTGACTGGTTTATAAAAACTCTGCTTGGATTTACTAATCTTGCCCAGCAGCGTGGACTGTGCATCCTCCAAAATCTCATCATCCCCAGCAAAAGTCTCTAATGCCCTTTCTTAACACCTGTAAATAGAGAAGAAACATATTTACTGATACTCAAAAGTTGTGTTTAATGCTGAGTATTTTTCAGAAGTTCATTTAGTTTGATGCATATTGTTCTTTGGTTTTTGTTTTCCTGCCTGAAAATGTCCAAAAGACCTAAAAGAAGCCAAATTCTATTTTAACATGATGATGTCGAGCACTTTTTTTTATTTGTATATGTGTGTGTATGTGTGTTTGAGCACTGATCTCGAGGTTTTGGTGGCATCTCAGTGTTGTGATTTCATTGCCAATGTAAAAGGTTCTGGTGTTGCCCTTTCATTTCTGGAGACAGAATTCAACCAAATAAAGTGCTTCCATTTGAAAGCGAATATTGACCTTGTAGCAATGGAACAAAGTCATCTGCATATTTAAATAAACATTTCATTCCAGAAATACAAGTTTCACTGGACCCTTTTGATCAGCCAGACCAGAAGAACAATGAGGTTGTTGCTTTTCAGCCCCAACAGAGGAGTTGGTGCCTCTTTGCTGGGCTCTCAGGGCTCTTGAGGTGTAGCTGTCACTCTGAGCTGCTCCCACAGGAGTGTCCAGGTGAGAATGGGAATTTGGCTGTGACTGCAGCTTCAGCCAGATATGAATTCACACTCAAACTCCCCAGAGTTGCTCTTTTACTCCTCATTGTTCCCCTTGACTGTTGGATGGATTTGGGTTTCACAAGAATTAAGCAGATCAGCCCATTCCAGGGCAGTGCCACACCATGCTGCTCTCTTCCAAAGAGTCTTGGCACATTCTGACTTCTGGTACTTGGGTTTTTTTGTTTTATTTTCTATCTCACAGTATTTCCCACTGGAATTTTCAGGCATTAGGCGTATTAATTTGGCTCTGACTGTCCCACAGAGCCAGTTCCTGTCAGGTCACTTTGAGACATGATTTTATCAAGCTTTTACCTTTCCAGCTGGCACAGAAGAGAGACTGATGTAGTTGGGGATTTTAATTTGGGTCATCTGAGGAGAAAGAAATGTGCTGTTGTGGCTGGGGGTGGGGG